TTAATTTAACCGAGTCCCGCTTGCCCAGGAAAACTGACCAGGTTAGTTTTACCTAGCAGGAAAGTCCAATGCGAACAGCGCGAGTCGGGTAAACTTCCCAAGTCATCACAGTGAATGACCTTCCTCAGACTGTCAGGCAATTACGCATGAGCTGTGACCTGGAATAAAACGTCACACACAAACATCTTGATTAATTTCGCGCGTGTTTGCTAGTGTCTTGATTTTGAGTAATTTTGTCATTTTTTTCACTTGTTTACTCGGTTTGTTTCAATGGCCGATTTATATGGAGCATTAATAAATGTGCTTTCGTTAATTGTTTTGCCACACATACCGGAAGTGAACGTCACAATTTAGCGCCCCCAATAGTTGAATCTGTACGAATGGTTAGTTTCACCATGGCCTGTGGTAAAACTAACCACGTCGATAAATCCCAGTGCGAACGACAGGAAGTTTAACCATTGGAATGTTACCCACAGTCTCGGTAAAAATTTCCCTATTTTAAATCCAGTGCGATTGCGGCTTATGTCACTTGTTTTTGTTTTCGTTATTAGATTTGTTGTGCCAAAATTTAATAAATTAAATCAAACTTACATTTTATAGTCTACAGAAAGTTTTCCTTAATTTTTGTGTAGTCAATAGCATTCTTTGTAAACCTGGTGTTTTTAGGCCAGGCTTTTACTATGATGCTAGTTTATATATGGAGCCGACGAAACCCCTACATCAGAATGAATTTCTTTGGACTAATGAATTTTCAAGCACCATATTTACCATGGGTTCTTTTTGGGTTCTCCTTGTTGCTTGGTAACCCTATCATTGTTGATTTAATGGGTAAGTCAGTGAACTGTTATTGGTAGGTTTTTTTAATTGATTTTTAAAAGGCAATTAGCCAAAACAAATGAATCCGCACTCTTTCCACATAGAAATGATAAAACAGCCAACATCTTAAGGGGTCATCCATTATTATCAACATTTTCAAAAGAGTACAAAACATACACTTTAGGAGGGGGGGGGGGTTGAAAGTGTAGGCATAAGTACTCTTTTATGAAAAACATAAAATGTTGATCTCAAAATGAAACAAATCAACATTTTATTGTGTACTCTTTCGGGGGGAGGGAGGAGGTAACAGAAAAGAGTATGTTTTGTACTCTTTTCAAAATGTTGATAATTATGGATGACCCCTAACACATGTTGAACACTGAGTATAGATTACAGACATTTTTAAAATTTTGTTTATTATACAGTATTAACATCATGATCATAAGTGTAATAATCTGAATATTAGAAGTAAACTGTCCATAAACAAAATACTGTATTAAGATACACTTTCTGTGCCAGTGTAGGGAGGAAAGGATTGAAATCCTGTCGGACAGACCAGGTCTTCAATCTGACTTGTAAAACCAAAGAGGTTTTAATTTTGTTCATAATTATATGATTTAAAATGTAGCTTAAATTACCCCAAATTGCCAATTTCTCTTAGCCTCCTAGACCCTGACCCTGCTGGCCTCTGCCAGAATTTGTCAGACCCTATGTTAAGCAGCTTTTCCCCTGCATGCATTTCCTAGACCTACGATTATTTGGTGAGAATAAACTTGCATTATTCTGAGCACAGTGAATGTGTATTACTAGATTCAAATTTTAAAATAATTAATAGGAAGAGTAAGCCATAAATACATAGCTGCAGATAAAATACAGTAAATAAATAAATGTTTTTATTTGCAGGGATTGCTGTGGGACATTGCTATTACCACTTGGAGGATGTTTTTCCCAACAAACCAGGTGGCTTCAAAGTTATCAATACCCCAGCATTTTTGTGAGTATTTTTTCTGCATACCACTGTAACTTACTCTCTACCTTAAAGGTCTGTCACACTATCAAAGCTTAATCCTCCTACCTTACAGCTTTGTCCATCACATCACATACCGGTATGGGCAAGGTAATGTCATATCACATACAGCTTTTTTCTACTTTTTAAATCTGTTTTACTACAGCGCATTGAGACCTTGTTTATGCACTATACCAAATTTATATATATTACATTACAGGCTCTTACAGTACCGGCCAGTTTTATTGCAAAAATTCAACGCATTCAACCCGTTGCGTTTTCGTTGACAACGTTGGCGTTGTCGTTGAAACTGTTGACATCGCAACGAATGTTGTTTATTGATAATCTTTGATAACGTTGCTGCTAGATAAGTTAGGGCGTTGAATTAACTATCACCAATTATTGACACGCGAACACGACATCGTTAAATAAACAATGTACTCTCAACGTTCATTTCAACGCAACGCAACTCAACGCAAACGCAACGCAACGACAACGGGTAAAACGCGTTGGGATTTTTGCAATACAACTGGCCGGTACTGTACTTGACAAAAGCCAAGAATTTTCCTTCTTATCAAAGCAATGTCTCTTCGTAAATACTTTATTGCCCTCTTTCCAACATAATTCCTCATTAATTTTTGCTAACCATGCATATAATAATTGTATTTATTCATTTATTGATTCTGTATATTGTAGTGTATTTTAAGAGAATATCTCTTACAACACAAATCTGATTAAAAGAGGCCCTGTATATTTTGTATAGTGCTTAGTAATGGAAATTAAATTAAAATTTACCTATTCCACAACTGAACAAGATTTCTCAGTTGTTTGATGCAGCCACAAACAACGTTGACATTTTTATTTCATTTCAGAGAAGCAATATTAGATGGTCAACCCGAAGACCCAAATTACAATCCTATGCCAGAGGAAGAGCGACCTGGTGGTTATGACTGGGGAGAAGGGGAACCTGTTGAGGATGAGACTCCAGTTGAGGAAAATGAACATGCCCAGGAGAACAATCCACAATAACTGGAAAGCATTTCCTCCAATGAAAATCTGACCAGGTTTAAATAACCTAACTTTCACTATCAATGCGCTGTGAGGTGAAAATTATATTTGAACAAAAGAAAGAAAAAAGAAAAACAAACAGATCACATCTATTCCTGCTCCATATTGAAATGATTCGCTGGTGAAAGGAATTAATTATGCTACCAAAGCCAAACGGATAATAAGTACTTAATGATTAATCACCATTAAAACTGTCTTTCATTAAGCTCGTTCATGCTTCTCTGACATATAATTGTCAAGGGCAGTGTGTATTGGTAGATTAAAGTTTACAGTCTTACAGACACTCTTGTGATTGATTGTTATGACTGGATACAAGTACTGTGCCTTACGTGGCAATGCCTTAAGATTTGTTGTACTTGAGCTCTTATGAAATCTCTAAGAGTCTACTAGACATGGAATCCGGCATCGCATTCGGGAGATCGAGAAGCAGAATCTGTAGCATTGGCGTGTTATAGTGAGAGGACCTCTGCCAGTAACCTTCACAAAACATGGTATCAGTCAGGACAGCAGAATCAGAAAATATTTTGCAAGTGATTCGGGTAAGAATCGAACTCACATCCTCCAGGTAACTAGCCTGATGTCTTAACCACTAGACCACTGGGCTTGCGCTTGGTGGCTAGTGATAAATCCGATTTTGAAGTAGCATATGGGAAAATTTCATGGAAGTACGTCATTTATATTATAAATATAAAAGCCAAGTTATTATATCTAGTTGGGAAATCAAGTTGGACAAGAAACACTTTCTCAAACGTGTAAGCATGTTTAGACAACATTGAGGTACAAAAACTGTCTGAAGTTATAAGTTGTACATAGGGCATTTTTTTGATGGAAATAAAGATTACATTTAATATATGTGCTGGTTATGATTTCAATGTATGTAGATCTGTTAACATTTTAGTACTTCTACAGGTAAACGGAATTCTGGTTTTGCTTTACATTATTCTTGGTATCATTGTTAGATACCAGGATATTTATTGTTAATTAAGTATTAAGATATATTTAAATTTTTGTTTAACTCCATATACTGATAAAAAAATAAAGTTATGTAGCCAAAATTCATTTTTGTTAGGGAAATTAATCTATATATTTTATGTTATTGAGAAATATGATCCAAAACTTTTTAATATTTCTCAAAACAGCACTTCAAATAGTAAATACGTAGCTATATTTTACTATGCCCTGTGCAAAAAATTCAAATTCTGTCGATAAAATTACATTCATGTTTAAGAGGGACTGGCAATTTGTGAAATAAAATGTAAAAAAGTGAAAATACAGCAACCCCTTTCAATGTTATTTGATGACATTCTCATCAGTTTGTGGGGTATCATGAAATTAGTATGTAAACTACTTCCATTCAGACGTATCCGGCACCCACCCTTGTAGAGGTCAGTAAGGCAATAGGTTGGGGTGCTGTTTTGTTGCTGGCAGCACAACTCAATGCAGTTTAACTACATACCCAGAACTTAGCTAACTAAACTACACGTAAAAAGTGTATGTATATTTTGATTAAATTTAACATCTAGGTCAGTATCAATGTAATGGTGAGAATGATTGTCCATACCTTAATCATACAAAATATATTTTCTTTCATGTAAAATTATGTAATGTTGAAAATGTATATCTAAGTTGATTTTATAAATACTGTATTCTTGATTTTGATTAGTTTCATTTTGTCCATCCATGCATAATAGCTTTATCTTCATCATAAATTGTTGACAAGGCTTATCAATACTATTGATGTCCATCCCTCATGCATAAAAAAAAAACAAAAACAACCCCAGCTTGAAATTGTAAAGAAAATTTTACTTGAAAATATTTGTTAACATAATAAGAAAAGACATTACTGTAGGTTGACTGTTGTTGAAGCATTTTACTGGAGAAAGGCCTTTGACTATAGACCATAACATGAGGGATGGAATTGGATCAGGCTATAACAAGAACAAAACATTGTTAATTTAATTTTATAATAATTAGTAGTATGGTAATACATTATAGTATAATACATTGTTATAATACATTATCTGAAAGAAAATTGACACCCCACAAGGAAACTGACACCCCCAAAGTAAATTTTCTAAGCTTTTCTCTCACTTCACCCAGGTGGACAAGTGGGTTCCTGGTAAAGTTGAATACTATTCTAATGTGCTTATTACTAGCTGTGACATTATGGAATACTCCCCCTGGGAGATAAAGTAGGTGTTCCATAAATATGTTATGTAATGTGAAGCGCATAGAAGCCTCGGTAAAATGCGCTATGTACGACCAACATTATCAAATTTCTGTCCAGCATGGTGGAAATTAAATTATGCAGATGTTAATATATCATGATAAAAGCGATCTATAGGGTTTTAAAATGGTTTTTCATTTTTTTCTTCCTGTGGCGTACTGAATACATTCCATGTGTTATTTAACCTTGCCATGTGCATTTATTTAAATTGATCTCAAGGACATATTTTTTACTCATAATTTTTTGTGATTTTATTTGCTTCAAGGCTATTCTGATTTTGACTTGTATTAAAATTTATTTTATTTCAACTTTGAATCAAATCATTAAAATTAAAAACATTTATTTGCTTAGAATAAAAATTTCAGTACATTACCTCCTTTTGTCCTCTCATGGTTTACTAGTGTAAATATATATTTTTTGCATGTTGGTTGTCACCACACACACCCTCATGTACAGCGACACAATTACTGTACACTACTGTATTCTTTAGTTCCAACTTCCTTTTAGTAGTTTTATATTTGTGAACACAATTAACAAAACTAAAAAGTAGTCATGGTAACATAGTCTAGCATGTAGCTTTTATTGATCTGAACACTAGAGGGCGTAACTATAACATACTTTCCACAGATACTTTTCGTCCTTCTAGTATTTACTAAAACATGCTTTAAAATGTTTGTACAGAACTTGATACATATCAACTCCTGAAAGAGCAATTAAAAGAAAAAGTTGTCAAAAGGTATCGTGCCTCTCCCATATACCTGATTTTGTGTGGAATGATGCTAAAGATACCTACACTACACAATATAACATTAATACATATAAACATTCCTACATATACCTTTCAGACATCTAATAACTGTCTGATCTGTTATTAATAATGTGCTATTAACTACAAATTTGGTATTCGTAACTCTTTGATAAATATCTTTCTTTTCAACTAAAGCAACACTGCTTACTTTTGACAATCTGATCAAATATTTTGCTACGGACACTTAACAGGTCCTGCATTCCACAACCTATGCCTACCATACTGGGAAGACTACGCAGAAACAGAGTTGGGTTTCTTTACAATGCAACAAAATTTTCTTTATACAAATTCTCTGAAATGGTAGCCACAGTAACAACCTTTAGTGACACTATTAACATATTTGGCAAGCAATTTTACAATAAATAACTCAACTAAAATATGTTCTCTTAAAAAATAAAAAAAAATAATATTTGTATATGTAAATTATGTCAAAGTGGTTCAGATACAGGTTTTTGCATTTTCTTCTTTTGCCCATTTTTCATCATTGTTTTCTGATAGCATGTACAGCTTGCATAACAAGTAACAATGTATTAATCGTAAGAAAGCTTTAAAAATTCAAATTTCTAGTCAATTGTTATTAATTTTAAAAAGCATTTTGGTCAATGATCAGTCATGTTGGTAGACCACTGAAAAAAGGTTCAATAATTTGAAATCTATTTATAAGATTCCAAATATGTTTCAGATTCTTTATTTGTTATACATATATAAATACACTTAGTCAAATAGTCTCCCAATTCAAAATATTTCTGATTTTGTATGAATTCCAGATGGAAAAAATAAAGATGGCAGTCCATAGTAAAAACCTTTGACATTGCACATCGATCAATTCTAGGTTACAAACTGAATAGATTATATTACCATTGTAAATATACTATAATATTTTTTATCCTTCGTGTGGTAACTTATTTTGTATTAACAGACCCCCAGCTTACATGACATCACAAAGAATAATAAATGGCAAAAAATATTATTTCCATAGCAATATAATTGTGGGATCCAACAAACATGTTCATATTTAATAACTATTAATTTTTTAAATGTTTTTTTTTTTTTAATTTGATTTATGGTCTGACTACTGTCAGCGCCTTCAGACGATTTCATTATGGAAGGCCCTCTACAAATATCCTACCATTACCATTACTATGTGGTCACAGTACCTTCCCCCAAATAAGAAGTTTATTGTTCAATAATTTTTCTCTTTTGAACACAACCATAAAAGGCTAGACACACTATTTTATGAAAGCATGTCTATAATAGAAGATTCCAACCCCTCCAATATTCAAAAGCACACAAAAAAAATCACATTGCATATTTAACAAAACGAAGGTTACACTGTATAGAATTATGATGCTCACAACAATACCCTGACACTTTTCCTTATGTTTAGTCTAAACATTTCACATCGACAATCCTACACGCAGTTTCCCTTTGTGTCCTTAAACGAGGCATATTGAGTGGAACTCAACCATTTAAACTGTGATATATTACAGAAAAAACATGGACCAACAAATAAAGAGTTTAAACAACAACTATTAGTATTATGAATATGGTTTTTTTACAAAATAACTTACGGTACACAAAAATTAAATATATCATCACCATTTTTATATATTCCAAAACACACCATAGTACTTTCAATTTTAGTGTGAACATAAATTTCCTTTTGAAAGGCTACAAATATCATAAATAATATATTACAAAACTGTACACGGCTTCGACCCACTTTATAACATTGCTACAAAATCTTAACTACTTCTATATAGTTAGGTGGCGAGAGTGGAATAAAACACTGAAGCAACTTTCTGACTAGATATATCTCTCTTGTTTGTACTCAAGATTAATGAAAGGGGAGAAAAATGAGGACGTGCCAAAGCTGGAGATGATTAGTCATCTGAATATCCCCACAATTTTGTATAGTGCACCCTCTATTGATATGACTCAGGAAGAAAAGTAGGCTTACTTATCCAGTCTGTTTTGTCTGAGAAGTAGGTCGGTTCCTTGTAATCAAGTTATAATGAGAACAGGCGATTCCCTACACACAAGCTCCATGGGGGAAAATTCCAGATGAGGAGAGCCTGAGTAAATCAGGTCGAGACAAATGAAGGAGATAGGCAATGGGAAGGAACCTTGGGGAAGCGACACAGGAACATCTCTGTTTGGGTAGTAGTTATTTAAAGCACTCAGATATATTTGCATTAACACATATTTAACAAGTATGTCTTCGCCTTGTTTCATATTTTAAATCCTGCAGAGTTTAGTTTACAAGCTGACAATATCAATGACCATATCAGTACACACAAGCGGTGTACGTACCATTAACTCGGCCTAAAGCTCAATACCAATAACTAGGTCATAATGTAACTTTGTTGATGACTATCGAACACAACCCCAAAAATTCTCTATAAATTACATAGACACATTACAAAAATACGGTTATAAAATAACCCACCAGAAATTAATGCTAATTTAAGTAAGAAAGTTCTAAATAATTTACAAAACTAATATTTTGTAAAATTGTCTAATTCATTGAAAAGGATTCACTTTTACCTCTTACAGAATGTTATTTATAATCAAAATCATCAAGATTACATTTAATGTTATAGTCTCAGCACCATTATTTACTGCCCTGCTGGGCCTACCAACATGCTTAATAAAATGTGACACACTTATCGACGAGTCACAATACATTTGGAAAACATGAAAGGAATATTAGAGTCTAATTTAGCAGAAGAGCTAGGTGTAAATCAACCTTGGCACAAACTTGTAACTCTTGGGCAAATTCACATATAGTTTAACGTCACATTGTCAGAGTAAATAAATGTGTAAAAGATAAACTCATAATGACATTTCTTATATATATTTATTCTTCTTTCATGACTGGCCTCACATTATTTCAACAGAATTTTGTTTAGTTGGTTATCTATGAATACTAGGGCAAATTAACGTAGATGCGACAGGAAGACTGAGACAACTTACATAAATAAATACAGGTGATTTTGAACAAGAACGAGAATTAGTTTAAGTGTACTCAGCAAAAAAATAAAAGAAAAAATGTTACACCCTACATTCAGATATAGAGTATTCTGCCAAATATTTTTTATTAATGAAGGCAATATTCTAAATAATTTACCTTGATATAAATTCCCCAGTATTCCACAACAAAAAGATAATTGTATTCTTTAAGGACTATGGAATGTACAACAATTATATAGTGTATTTTTAAAAATCTCACTTAACATTCATTATAATATTAAATAATAAAATATTATTTCTGGATTCATCTTCCGGAGGATACAACAAAGACAGCATCGGTTTTTCAGCACTCATTAAATATTGTTGAATGAAATAAAATCAATAAAAAGCCTCATTTTTATGACCTAATTAAAATGGACTGATAATATTTGTGTGGGGAAAGTAATTAACACTTGCACGCTGATTTTTTCCGGTGTTACTCATGTGGCCAGTAAATGTATAGGGAAAGGAATTATATTTTTTATTTTTTTATGAATGAGGATATTTTACTTCAGTAGTATTATTACCAGTAGTGTGTGAGACACCAAAAAGAACAAAATACATGAACATGTACAATAGTTAGGTAAGACAAAAACATCTTTTCTCCTTGATTAACTCTCTAATTTTTTGAAATGTATCAATGGTGATGCATATCTTTCATTATGTGAATCTTTACAACTAATCTAGTAACAGATATCCAAATATTGTCATTCGCTATAAAGACAAGAAGTTGGGGTTATTACTGGTCCTCACATGACTACAACTTGACCACATTTGATCCCTCCTACATCAAGAAGTATGTATCTCAATAGCAACAGTTTCTAAATTCATGATTGAAAATTCATTAAATAATCATTGTTTGCAGTCGATGTCCTACTACTATATATTGTTCTACATCCAAGATATTATTGTTTCATGATAGGCAAAGGAAAAGAAGCAATGATAAATGTGCTAGACAAGTGTATATGGATGAAACATTATTGGTAATTGAAAAAATCGCATTTACCCAAAAGTGAGTGACAGTTTAACAATAACGATAATCAAAGGGAAGATTAATAAAATGACACTGTTATGGCGGCGAAAATATAATTATTGTCCCATACGTAATGGAAAGAACTAATTATAAGAAATGAGAAATAAATTATTCAACCATCAAACAACCTGGAGACAATAATAAAAACAAAATTCAAATTAAACTGTAGATTGGGCAAGAGGCGGCTTCACTTCTTGAGTTAATAAATACTGTTTTAATATATTAAGCCATTACAAATGCTTTTTAATTTGCCATTTGTATTGAGTTGGTAAAATTATCTGTATTTGAAAAAACTGAGTTAATATTCAAGATAAAATCTATGTTATTCCATGCTTGAGTCAAGAAGTAAAAAAAAAATTGCTGATAATAACGGGCAAAATGTTTGTTTCAGAGTGGTTTCCATGGCAATGTTGGTTTGTATAGTAATTGCCTGGTGTCTTCTCACTGCTGCCATATTGGCCATTTTAGAGACAACAGTTTCCCAATTTCTTATTCCATCATTGCTGAGTTACTGCATACTGTGCACATTGAAACACTATATTATGCCCTGCAAAATATAAATAAAAAAATATGTTAGGAACATTACCAGTATAATTACAGTAATAAAAATATCATAATGTAAAATACTAACTACTTATGTAACACAATGTCATTTATATTCTGTATTTTTTATGCATTTGTATCATGCTCTGGTAGGCATCTTGTACAGGGACATGTTCCCTTTTTTGCCTTCCAGAATCATTACGTTTTGAGTGAAATAAAATTATGAATTATGAATAACAATTTCTATAATTCATAATCATCATTTTGTGAAAACTCAAATAAAACCAAAAAACTTGTGCAGTGAATGGCTACAACTGATGTCATTCAATTTGAAACCATTAATCATTTAATTTTTTGGAATAAAAACAATATTCTAAATTATATATCTTGTTGAAATTCATTGCTTTACATTGTGTGAGCAAACATTTTTTCAAACACTTCTTTTGAGCAGGTCACAATTTTTTTTCTGTCATAACAAATTCATAAGATAAAGTTTGATCAATGTGCTATAGTTATTGTCTAAGTGACAAATAATACCTGTAATTTGCCCTTATATGGATATAATATGACATCAACATGTCCATATATAGATGTTATATTACATGATCATCATGTCCATATAAGGACAATTCATACAAATTCGTAAACATAGAAGTTGAGCTACTTTCTACAAATACCGTACACTTTTTTTTATAACACATTTTGTAAGAACACCGAATCCGACATCGCTTCAAAACAAATAAAGAAGAAATTGAGGCTGGCATAAAATGAATGAATGAGGTTTTAGTTTTTTTTTTAAACATAAACAAAACAGCAAATCTTATCTGTACCTTATAGGTAGGTGTGGCTACTGCATGCAATACTTGTACCCTCTATAGTACAGTGATCATGTATACTGCTGTACAATAATTTTTTATGTGTAAAAATAAGAACAAAATAAGAATATTTTGAGCCTGAAATTAGCCAAAAAATAAGAACAATGAGCCTTAACAAAATTTTACTGGTTCTTACAAAAAAAAATGTATATACAGTAAAGACATATGATGTGTCCACTCAGACTTGTTTCTGAAAGAAGCCTCAAATATCCAACAAAGTCTGATCAAGTTTTATTTCTCCTAAATTTCTATAGTATTTGGACACCGGATACAATCAAATAAAAAAAATCTAAAAAATTATGATCAGTTGTTTTTTCAAGTAGAGTTGATTTAGGATGAAGAAAATTTGTGTTTGCACATTTCATAAATTCTCTATGACTGTGGTAAAATAGTGTTTTATGCCATACTGCACTTTCGTGCCAGTAAAAAACAAAATTTCTCTAGTGTATATCAGCATTGAAGCCTTATATTTTGGACTCATTCTTCATAATTTTTCATCAAAATCAGTTGACAAATTCCAAACTAAGGTTGAACTATCTACGAGGCACTTGCATTTTTGTCCAATCAAATATTGGAAATCATAAGAAGCCTGTAATCTTTAAATACCATCAGAGAAGGAATTAAACCAGTTCTTAAGGTGGCAATAAATTATGAATAAAGTACCATAATGCTCTACAGTTTTTATTTCTTATAACTTTAGAACTAGGTTTGAACCTGCCCTTTACTTAAGTGAGAAAAAAAAAATTATGTGAAAACTAAATTACTAAGATGTGAACCTTTAAAGATGTCACCTCCATCAGAAAATTCTAATGTTTATTGTGCTAGGATTGCCCAGATCACCACTTATTCTAAAACAAAAAAATAACTCAATTTTTATGAAGATTTATATGACAGATTATCTTTTTCAAATGTAATCTTCTATTGGCACATTCAAGCAGTTGATGAAGTGTACGACTCCAAGTTACAAAAAGAGTAATTCCTTAAACTTGTATCAAGAACAAACGTGGAATACATATACCTTACACATGTGTATAGATATCATGAACCGAATGCACATAAAGTAATGGGACCAACCAGAAAGTGATTTTATTACTGAGTATTTTCAGAAATAAGACACTGTTCTATTATTTTGAACATTATCTTTGTCAGTATCATTTCTGCTTAACTGTCATAGTAACACAAACACGTTTATTTTCGCATCTCAAATAATATAAATCTTCTCGTCCCAGTTCTAGCATCTAGCATCAGTTGCAATACCTGCCCTAGTTTTGTTTTTTTCCCTTGTCTTTTCCCGTGAATATCAGTTAATCTTTGATCAAATTAGAAAAGGGTTTCTTGATGAAAAGGATTTGTAAAAAGTTTTGAGAGATCTTCTGGTAACAATGCAAGCCTTTTAAGACCTAATCCTCACTGATGTCTGAGTAGTCCAGGGGGCTAGGGCTAGGACCTTCATATCCGCTTGGTAGAATTTCCTGAATGGGCTCTTCAGAATTTCCCACTGCGCCCCTTAATCTATCAGCTCTATTAACCTTGACCCTTCTGATGGAAGAATGCTTTTCCCTGGCCAGTTAAAAGGACTGACTGATTGATTTGTTACAATTATTATAGATTCATAGAAATCTGATGGAAAGCATCATTATTCAAATTGTCCATCGACTGTATGCCACTTGTATGGTATTTGTAAAATGCTAAATATTCCTTTCATTAGAGAAACCCTTACAAAAATACAGAACCTGAAAGCAAACAAGCAGAAAAAAAAAAAGTTGCCATGGTATAGGGCTGTCTCTTATACACATCTAGATGTGTATAAGAGACAGGTATACTGCTGTACAATAATTTTTTATGTGTAAAAATAAGAACAAATTAAGAATATTTTGAGTCTGAAATAGGCCAAAAAATAAGAACCTGACTCTTATACACATCT